TATCTATATGGGCATGGCCGAGCCTTGAGAAACATCAACAAAGACATTGGACTATTCTGAGTAAATTAACCAATTCAAATTCAAATTCAGGATCCTGAAACAATTTGGCTATAACCTCTAATTGATGAAGGACATCTTAAGAATTCATTATACAAGGATTCCTCTCCAGTGTTGCCGGAACTGTTATAAAACCCATGCATGGTTGTATATTTTAGTTTGATCATTTATACTCATTGAATTATTGTTGTTTGCTTTATGTTTTAATTTCTTTGTAATTTTTTCCCTGTGACACAGGTGGAGATGATGGTGGCGAAGTGGATCCCACTCATTTCTTTCTCCCACACACATTCTTACTCTCTCCCTCTCTCTCTGTGTATGTGCATGTGTATGTGTTTGTGTGTCTGTGTGTGTCCATGTCGTGATGTCACTGTACCTTTAATTGCGCTTGCTGTTCGTAACTGTATGTGTCTGATGTTGAAGGTATCAGAGGCTAGGGTCAGTAAGAGCTAGGACATTTTTGTGCATAACCTTTAATCCCTAGGCGATCGGTTCGGGGAACTTCTGGTCCGGCCGGAGTGTGAATCTTCCTACCAACTATCTGCCAAAGCTCAATTGGACTGCACAAGCCGAGAAAGCCTTCATTGGACCAAAACTACACACACGAAGAGGCTTCGCCTTCGGTGCCAGGCGTCTGGGTCCTGCTAAAAGTCACCAAAAGGAAGTGGACGGAACCAAGGTGGACCGGGCCATACAGGATCACGGAGAGGACATCACACGCTGTCCGGCTGGACGGGAGGAGCCTAACCTGGAAGAGAAGCAGCCGACATCTGCCTGACCAGAAGAAGTACCCAAGGACCAGGACGAGAAGCAGCTGACATCTGACCAACCAGAGAAAGGATCCAAAAACCAGGAAGAGAAGTAGCTGACTACAGTAGCGTGCCAAGCTACCACCACATCCTGCAGGACGAGAATCTTGACATCATCACCCCCTGCAGCTGCCTGGAGCCAGTGAAGGGTCCTCAACAGGGGGAAGAAGTAACCACCCTATGAACATTCTACAAGGGTTGTATTTAACACCCTCATTTATTTTAACAAGGGTAATATTTTACACCCTCCACCTGCTGACCCAATTATCCAGATGCCCTTGTTACTAGCCAATCCTAACATCTATTTGGGAGGGGAACCCTCTGATGATAGTGATGACTCTCATGATGAAGAAGATGTTAGAGTGTGAGAATATTGAGTGGTTTCTGTAACGATTCCTTAAACTGTTTATTTCTATGAGTTTTTTGATTGTGTTGTTTTTATTTTTTTTTTTGATCATTGATGTCCTAGGCATGCCCACTCTGTGCCAAAAGGCGTTCGCCTCAAAATGAGGGGACATGGGGGAATTTTCCCTATTTGACGTACATAATTAGGGTTTTTCGCCCTCATACGGTGAGCATGCGATCCATTCATGTTGTAACATGTTCTGTTAAAAATATGATCATGTTTTTTTTGTATTAGTTTATTGCTGGAAATATGAGAAGCTGTAATCTGATGGATTGTTTGTATTGGTATTTTAAAACTTTGCTTATTGGATTCTTTTTGATGGTATTTGGTGTTATTGTTTTGATTTCTTATATCTTTATTGAACTCTTAAAAGAGTTCAAAAGGGGGATTGAAAATATATATCTCTCATATAAGCTCTTTCATATATTATTATAAGCTCTTTTATATGAACAAATATGTATCTCTCACTTATGCTCCTTATATATTATCATAAATACATTATTATATGCCTTTTCATGGAATCTTGTTATAATATCAAAGACCTCTCTGTGCCTTTTCTGCTCAAGCTGAACAGCTGCATAAGGGAGTGAAAGTGTTCCTTCCTTCAGTTCCTCAATACAAGAACAACTGTCTTTGTTAGCAAAGGATGTTGCAGGATGTGTCCTGATCATCTCAAGGTTGCATGTCCTTGGGATGAATTGGTCTTTCATTAACAAGGCTATTAGCTGACGTGCGTCTGCAGGTGCAGATGGCAGAATTACGTGTGTGTATGGCAAACTACGTATGTAACATTCCTGTAATCTTCAATAAAAATCAGCCGTTTTCAGCAGAACGGCGAGAGTCTGTCCGAAGCATCTGGCAAGAGCAGGTCGCGGGACTTGCTGCAGAGACTCTCCCCCTCATGAGCGGCGAAACAGTGAATGGACTTCTGATCATTTGTCTCCTCGTTCTGACAACTTTAAAGGTGTTTAACTCCATCTACTCCGTACCCGTGCTTGGTCTAACGGAAGAGAGACCAACAAGACTGGAAGTGCTGGTTTATAAAACTGCATCAGACGTAATCTGTCATTCCTACATACCCTTTATTGGAGACCCCCGTGGTAGATCCGGAATGTCAGGAAGTCCATGGAGCCAGAGGCACCGAAGTCCGTAGGAGAAACCGCAGCACCACTAGACCGGTCTCAAGTTGTCTCCAGGTCACAACAGGAATTTGTTTGGACTCTTAAGGAGTCGAAGCACCGTCAGCTTTGCTCTGAAGGACCTGTTTGCTATGTCAGCTTTAGTGTGCAACAGGTTTTGATGGCTTGTCAAAAGATCCGGTGATTCATCGAGTTTTACTCTGGGTTGGCCAGTCCAAAGTTCTGCTCAAAACTGAATCAACTCGGGAAGGGATTCTAGTTTTATTAAATCCTAAGTTATGCTTTACTAACAAATCAGAATGTCACAAGTTAAGGAGGTTTTACCAACAAACCTCAGAAACCACACCTTCCTCAGATAAAAGGCACTCTGATTTTGTGAATAAGGAAATCTCTATGTGCATGCAATAACTTTAACTTGCGTCATGGAGATATGGTGAGAGTGTGAGCTTGTCCAGTCACGTACACTGATTAAATATATGGGTCATTGCGAGAACACATTCATTTCATCCATATTAATTTAAGCACAGATTAATCAAAACATTTCATTTAACACCTTGTCCATTCATCATATGATTATTATCGGTTCACCGAGTGAAATGACAGCCTTTAAGCGTTGGTGCAGGTCCCCTCCCAACACGAAGGGAAAATCTTCAACATTAGTTGCAAACACTGGATGGCTCACGAACATGTCTCCCACTGTGAAGTTGATGGACACCACGTTTGACAAGGGCATTTGGCCTCAAGAGTACAGATGGATGTCCACAGCGCAGGGCGTGACGCGACCCTGTGCAGCTGCAGCCATGCGGACCTGCTCCCAGAGAGAGCTGGACATGATGGTGAAATCTGAACCAGAGTCCAAGACACCCTCACAGTTCAGCGCCCCCTCCAGGGTCACCAGAATGTGAGGTTTATCAATAGGACCATTACGGATGATACTGCAGAGAACCCTTAGTGGAAGTCTGATCGGTGAGCTAGGTTAGCCAGGTTTGGTTGAAGGTTCTGTGGGTGCTAATAGACTAGCGCTGATGGAAGCGACCACAACAGGCCTCGCCGAGACCTCAGGTGTCTGTGAATGCACCGTTGTGGCAGGCTCCGCCTCTGCAGGACCTGCTTCCACAACCGAGCCACAGGCAGGTTGAGGAGGTTCTACTGCAGAGATGCACAGAACCGACTCACGTTCTGTTGAATCTTTCAACAGGTTAAGAAGTGCAGCACCCAGGGCGTGAGTTTTTCCAGGAGACCGATCTCCTGGCTGGCTCGCCATTATGTAAAGGGTTGATTTACATCTATTTAACGAACCATAAGACATGAGAGTCCATAGTGAATATGAAATCAATCTTATGGATCTTTGGGTAATTTTAACCAGAATATTGGAACTTTTTATTGCAGGGATTATGTAACACTTCGTATTATCTGAGAGACAAGAGAAGAGAGAGTCACCTTTAAAACGTTTAAGAAGATTTATTTCTAAACAATTTTAAACAAGACTAACTCTAAACTCTAAGTGAATGGATGGATCTTGGTGTGAATGAGACGTGAGCTGAATGGTGTACGTGTGAGTGATGTCATCAGAACTCTCGTATCCGGAGAAGCAAGTCTGAGTGATGTTTTGCTCTTAAGCTATGATCAGAGTTTCATAAACACATGAGACGCCATGTTGTCACTCCACACATACCCTCCAGGATGAGACCTCCGTACAGATCCAGAATGCCAGGTCCTCGGACCCCCCTTCGGTACCGGAGCCGATGAAACAGCGTCAGCAGTACGACAGACTAGTCTTTGGATTGTCTCCAGGTAAAAAGCGACAGTTGGTTGACAGCGTCAGATGGACCCCCCTTGGTTCAGTGAGTTCAGCTTTTATTCTGAAAGGAACTGTTGCTTGGTTGGTGAAATGCAACAGATTTTATCCAGCTTGTTGGTTCTTTGCTTAAAAAGGAAGTCCGGGTGGCCGGTCCGATACTTCTCTTAGCATGCGGTGAACTGAACTAAGATGGCGTGGGACTGGTTTTATTAATCTGGATGTTTTGATTTCTGGTCGAATCAAAGTTGGCAGATTTATAAACACCACAGAGACTATGCCACGCTTCAGAAAGGAAGGTTCTGATTGGATGAGTAAACAATGTGTCATGCGTTTACATTACGTGTAGTCAGCATGTCTAGTGCAGCTAGACTAAAGTCATATTACACATTAAACTTATTAATCATAACATTGTCATTTCACAGATCGGTCAACATTATATTATTGACTAACATTTGTTTGATTAGCTTTATTAAAAATAGAGTTCTTTGATTTATTAAAAGGAAAGAGTCCTTTGTCTTCTTTCTTCTCTTGAGCTGGAAAGGAAGCAGTTTAGAAGCAGAGCATGACCCTGAGGCAGTCTCATGCAGATTAGTTCTGTGTCAGAGGCATCTGAGGAGAGAGGGTAAATAACCTTCGGTGGAATGGCTCCGTCATCACGTTACACCGGTTTGGCTTGAAAGCAGAAGTTAGCATTTGATTAACCATGATGATAAACCTGTTGAAGGATCGTCCTGCATGTGGGAGCAGTGGCATGTTGGTTTAACCTTCATGCTTATGTCTGCCTGCAGACTCTACCCAGCAATAACAACAGACGAGCAGCGATGCAAGTACAAGAAAGACTTTGACTGTGATTTGTCCCTATACAAGAGTCTCTGTGCTGAAATGGACAACATCAGCGATCAGATGCGCAGACTGAGCCGGGAGCTGCACACTTTGGATGAAGACTCCATGAAGTACCAGGTAGAGAATGGCACGGAGAGGAGCCATGTGGGGCCGACTCAGAGAGTGGACACCCGTGAATTTTGAATGATTGTTTCTTTTTCCAACACTGTGATGAGCCTGAATGAGAAACGGTTTTCTTTTCCAGGGTGTGGCAGATGAATACAACCGCTTGAAAGAGGACAAAAGGGTGAGTGGGATAAGATCCAGGATGATATCATGTAACACCATTAATACAAAACTATCTGCAAGGAGCAGGCGCGTTGCAAGCTTTTCAGAAGTGTGGGGATGTTGTCTGTGCCTAAAATAAGTTCATGTTATTCATCTTGTTAGTTTAATTTCCATAATAGCGCAGCAGGTGTGAATTTTAGACGCGTCACGCACGTCTCCGTTTTAAACATGTTGAAACTGTTCAGAATACAAATCCAGGCTCTGTCTCGTTAGATCGGTGTAACTAAAGTTTGTACTGAATGAAACTTTACATTAAACCATGTTGAAGAGAAAAGGATCTGATTAAATCGTTTTCCCCTCATTTACAGTCACGAAGTACAGCGCAGTGCACGCGGCTCTGGGGTTAATCAGGTTTAGTTGTTTCTCTTTGCAACAATCTTCTCAAGAAGGTAAAACAGTTAAATGGCAGCTTACAGATATTTATATTTGACTTTTATTTTGACGGATAAACTCAAGGATGTTGTTGTTTTGAAAGAATTACCCCGACGCACACTGATGCACACACAGATGAGCTGACATTTTAATCGTTACGCACATCGCGGAGGTAAAATATTCCCATCAGAACATCAGAGCTTTATACTGGACGCTGTAAACCTCTGCAAATGGTTGTTCTTCACTTTATCAAACTCAGACTTTGTACAGCAAATGTCAAGATGTAAAATTATGAATTCAGTCGAGCTCTTCCGTCCCTCCCTCTCCTGCTCTCCTGGAAACCCGACATCGGCTGTCAGAAGCGGGAGGTGTAGGAGGAGATGAGGCAAACAGAGTGAGTGCGACCTAAAGAAACCAGACTGGTGTGGAGGTGAGCAAACAGCTGGAAAAGTGTGGGTGTTGAATCCCCCACATCCCCCACGGGTGCGACGCCCATGGCACGGAGGAATAGCAGCTGAAGAAGACTTGTGGGTGGATCAGCGCACAAGGTGCTTCTACTAAATACTGAGCAAAGGGTCTGAATACTTAGGACCGTGTGATCTTTCACTTTTTCTTTCTACATCTGCAAACATTTCTAGACTTCTGCCAGGATGGAGCGCTGCGTGCATTAATGAGGACAAAATGCAACTGATTTTAGCAAATGGCTGCAACATCAGAAAGTGAAACATAGATGGGTCGGAGTACTTTCTGCTGTAAACAGTCTCTATAGGAACTATAATCATCAAAGGTAAAACTGACTTTTTACTTTGGGGGCAGCCATCTTGATCTGGGTTGATTGCCAGTGGTAAATCTTAATTCACCTCCATCAAAGAGTTCATGAGATGTTTTTGCAGTTGCATTCAGAGATCCAGTCCTGCAGGAAAGGCCATCTTTA